TAGTGCTGCACAGCATGCGGGGCTGCACACTCATCCAGCAGCCCCTGCCCCCTCAGGGGATGCACAGGAGCCGTCCCCAGGCAGGATGAAGCCCTGCGGTGCCGCTTGAGGGAGCAGAGCACTCGGGTAGTGCCAGGCACCAGGAAGATGATTAGAGAGCGGGAGCGCCGAGTGCTGGAGCGATCCTTGACCTTCACAAATCACCGAGTGTGGCGAGGCAGCAAGGACGGGAGCCGTCTGGCAGCCGGGCTCAGCCACGCAGCAAGCACGGCTCAACAGGTCCCCCCACACTGCCAGCCCGGGCACACGGCGCGCCCGCAGCCCCTCGGCATGGGGTGGTGCAGCGAGCGGGAGCCAGGGTACGGCCCCCAGCCCTGGCAGGCACCCGGCACTGAAAGGAGTCCACTGATGGGGCAGACAGACAGACAGCAGAGACAGGAGGCTGGGGGAAATGAAGCCTGTCCATCACGCCTCGCCGCTCTCTAAAGATACATCCTTGCCAGAGCATGTTAGAGGGGTCCACGGCCGCTCACTTACACTCCCACTTGCTGGCCAACAGCACACCTCCAGAGCTGGAGGGGTGATGTGCACCGGCACACACGCACTGTAGCCCCCGGCACACACGCACCATGGCCCCCGCCCTGCCATGCTGGCTGATGGAGAGTCCACCGAGCCTGCAAGGAAATGGTCGCAGTGCTTAATTACCCTCGGCACTCAAACTGATTTCTACTCTGAATTTGTCTGGTTTCAGCTTCCAGCCAATGGATCTCACTATAGTGTTTTTTCCTGATAGATTAAAGAGCCGTCCGCTATCAGAAATCTCTCCTCCACACAGAACGTCATAAATCTTGCTCTCTGCCGGCTATCCGCAGCGCATAAGGATTCGGTTACGAGGAAGAGCGCTACTAATTTTCTTGTCCTTTTTGTTAATTAACAACAACTCCATCTCCCCGAGAACTTGCATCCTCCCCAGGCAGCCGTGTCCACCTGCTGAGAGCTCAGAGGGCTCAGGAAGCACCAGGCTTGGTATGTGAATCTGCAAGGGTGGATGGAATCTGCAACTTTTCATGGATACATCCCTTTTCCAGGTTCTTATTCACCCATTTTCTAAAGCTCCATGGAAAGCTCAAACTTTGCTCAGAGCTCATGCAGAGGGGAGGTAACGTGGATGCTCCAGGGCTCCTCAGTTAGCACCAGTGCTGCACAGCACAACTTTCCCTGCAGCATCCTACAGCTGCACCATAACATGGGCCACCCCTGACCTGCCTCCTCGGCAGCGCCAGGCAGCTCCAGGCACCAGTGATGCGGTGGGCACCAGTGCCCCTTGTTAATGACGCTTTTGAGTTAATCTCATCCTTTCCCAGAAGCTGTTATCAGGCACCATCCCCACTTCACACCCTGCTTCCAGCCCAGGGTGGACAGACACAGACTGTAACAATATTAGCGCTGTTTGTTACTTTGAGCACATTAATGTCATTTGGAAAAGTACCGGCTTGACGCTACTGATTTAAAATGCAATAAGGGATATCCAGCCTCGCTGCAAAAGCCAAGTTTTCCTCACAAACAGTAGGAAAACGGCAAGGGTCCCGATGGTAAGCAGCTAATTGTAGTAAATTCAGCCGCACGCGTGCAGGAGGGGATGGTAATGAGCCACAGCTGATTAAGAAGACATAGTTTCGAGCAAACATCCCGTTGCTATTTCAATGGGAGCCCATACGTCTCAGCCTATTTCTTTATCAGCAGCCCCTGTTTCACGAGGGTGCAGTTGCAGTTTACGGTGCTCGAGCAGGTTTTACTGGGTGCACTTTATGTATTCAAGAGGGAAGATCTCCCCCAGCCTTCACCGGCAGCGTGGGATGGGAACCAGCCGGAGGGGAAGGTGGAGGTCCCAGGCATCTTGGCACAGCAGGCAGCTTGTGCCCTCGGGGACAGCTGGCAGTGACAGCAGGCAGCACAGCCAGGCTGGCTG